CTTAGAAATCAGACGGGAAGACAAAATATTTTGGACTGAGAAGTAGCAAGCATTTCCGGAATTTAGTCTCCTCCTAACTTCCTCACAAGTATCATTTTGATTTGTTATTGTTGTTCCCAAATATTTGAACTTTGTAACCCTTTCAAAGGATTTATTAGCTACCCTAAGATAATTTTGCCCGCCTGTCTTCTGATGACGAGATACTAACATGTACTTAGTTTTTTCTGAATTTACTTCCAGCCCCACTTGTCTACCAGCCTCTAGTAAAACTTCTGCGTTCCTCTTTATTGTATTTATATCGTCCCCCAATAAATTAACATCATCAGCATATGCCAATAGCTGATGTGTCCCGTTCAATTGCAAACCCTCCTGCCTACCTTGGACCTTCCTGATGGCGTATTCTAGCGCAAAGTTAAAGAGCAAGGGAGACAAAGCATCTCCTTGTTTTAGACCGTTCTTGATGAGGAATGTCTCAGATACATATTTACCTACTCGAATTTTGCTGCAGGTTTCATTTAAGCACATTTTTATTAGACCCACTAGCTTCTTTGGTATACCAAATTCAATAAGAATATTATATAGCACTTCTCTCTTCACAGAGTCATAGGCTTTTTTGAAATCTATAAATAACTGATGTACAGTCCCACCGAACTCCCATTTTTTCTCTAGTATCTGACGAATGCAAAAGATCTGATCAATCGTTGATCTGTTTCGTCTGAACCCACACTGATGATCCCCAATAGTTTCATTCGCATATGGGGTTAATCTTGCCAAAAGAATGTTGGATAGAATTTTGTATGAGGTTGATAGCAGCGATATTCCTCGGTAATTACCACACTCAGTCTTGTCCCCCTTCTTATAAATAGGAATAATTATGGATTCCTTCCATTGATGTGGCATCTCTTCCTTATCCCAAATTAACTGAATAAGCTTATGGATCCTCATATGCAACCCTTTGCCACCTGCTTTAATTAATTCGGCCGGAATCTGATCAATTCCTGGAGATTTATAACTTTTCAACTTCCCAATGGCTAGTTCCACTTCATCTAAGCTAGGTTCTGGCACCAACAGTTCAGCTGTATGCATTTTAATCTGTCTAATATCACCAGTATTATGAACATTTAAGAGCTCGCTAAAGAAATTTTTCCACCTATTCACAATTTTTATTGGATCTGCAAGCAAATTGCCACTATCATCCTTTACCAAATTAGTCTGGGGTTGATATCCTTTCTTAAAGTTATTAATGCCTCTGTACAGGTCTCTGATGTTTTTTTCCTTATTATTTGTCTCAAGTTCAGCAATTTTGCCCTTCAGGTATTCCCTTTTCTTAGTCCTAAAGGTTCTACTAGCCTCACGTCTCACGTTACATAGATTATCCGCATTTGTTTTGTTTGGGTTCTGCAACCATTGAAATTTTGTTTGCTTCCTTCGATCTATTAATTTTGAACATTCTTCATCAAACCACGGTTTATTTTGCTTTCTCCTGTAGTATCCTAGTTTCTCTTTTGCTGAAATTTTGATGCAGTTTCTGACATTTTCCCACTCCCTGTTGATGTCCACACTTTCATTATCCTCATTTGTCTCTAAAATTTGAAACCTATTCGAAATTTCAACTTGATATTGTTCCTTTGCCTCTCCCTCACTTAATTTTTTCAAATCAAATCTTTCTGTGTCAAAATTTTGTTTAGTTCGTCTACTTACTGAAAGCCGCTCCCTCACTTTTGCTACCACCAGATAATGATCAGTGTCGCAATCTGCTCCTCTGAATGATCTCACATCAATTACATTTGTCTGCCTTCTCTTATCTACTAAAACATGATCTATTTGATTGTGTGTTCTGCCATCTGGGGAAGTCCAAGTGTATTTATGAACATCACGGTGTGGAAATTTTGTACTTTTTACAATTAAATCTTTTGACGTAGCGAAGGTTACTGCTCTAAGACCGTTATCATTACTAAGTGCATGGAGACTCTCGCTGCCTATTGTGGGTTTGAAGATATCCTCCCTCCCAATTTTTGCATTGAAATCTCCTAGCGGAATTTTCATGTGATACTTGCCAAATGTATCACATACTGATTCCAATTCTTCATAAAAGCTATCCTTGATATCATCGCTTTTGTCTTCAGTTGGGGCATGAACATTAAGGACAATGATGTCGCACCAACGTCCTTCCAAAATTACGTAAGACAACCTGTCACTAACAAATTCTACTCTCTTAACTGCTGCCCTAATTCTGCTATAAACAAAAAACCCCATCCCTAATTGATGATTGTCATTCCCCTTTCATTAAAAAAATGTGAAATTGTCCACTGGGATCGTGCCCTGCCCCTCCCGTCGGACTTCCTGCACTGCCACTAACGTAAGTCTAACTTATAATTGTCTAATTCCCTACTCACTGATTTCAGTGCCCCAGCCTTATAGAGACTCTTAATGTTCCAAGTTCCAAATCTCATATCCCTTTTCAATTTCCATGGTCGTGCCAAAGAGTCCGTCCTGGTCCTAGGCTTAGTTAATTTGTTCGTAACAATGCTTTTTTTACGGCGAAACCTTGTTACCCTTACGCCCAACCCCCAACCTTGAGGACCAGGGTATCACTCTTAGTCTGGTGCATCGCCTTAGACCTGTCCGTCTTGGGTGATCCTACCATGAACCAAAGCTCCGGCCGGCATAGCCCTAAGGGTCATTTGAGCACGCAAGCCTCCTCACCCAGCAAAATTTATTTGTCTTCGACAAGGTGGTGATACCTTCGGGAGGCCCATCAGTGTCCTAGTTTTCATTTCTCTAAAAATTCAGAATTTTTACTGGTTAATGTAATCCATTAGAATCTGAGTCACTCCCTGATTAAAATTAAAACCGATTACCTACTCGTAATTTGAATCGTTTGGTACATTTAATGACAGCTGTACAGGTTATACAAAGTCCAATGAGGAAGGAGGGGTATTCGAACCCATGGTATCAGTTGTCAATCGGTCTAACGCCATATGCACAGTGTAAGCGACATTTTCGACTTTATGAAGCAAAGGCTGTGGGTGCGTTTGCCAAACCAGTTACAACAGATGTAAGACTGGACGAGTGGGCTGTCAGGCTTTCACCGCTTTACAATATACGAAGACCTTTCCTTGTGCCGATTCGGTCACAGGTTAGCGCGGGTGGGCGGGATAAATAACTGACACAGCTACCAGATACACCGTTCCGCATTACTTTTATTCCCGTGTCAGATTCATGTACATAGGCGTACAGCAATTTCGTACCGACTAAAGCTCGTGGGATTGTTGAATGTGTGCGTGTATTAAATCTTTCTACGGATAGAGGAATACTGGAAATTGATTCAGCGCGCTAAAAGCCCGCGTAACTTTGTTACTTCATGTTGGCAGGAATTACTCATATTCCTGTAACAAATTCAGTTCTACTACGTCAGCTTTACTTCACATACATGTAATGAATTTAGCCTATACCGCTATCGACTGCCCCCGTGCTAGTTAGTTAGTCGATTTCATTATTCTATTTTATATAGTAACTACACGTGCATCTTCCTGCAGTGAATGATAATTCCAAATTGTTATTTTCTTAAATATTTTAGTAAAACTGTCGGTAACAATTTTCATTAAAATCCGTGCAGATGTTCACAAGTCGTTACATGCAGATAGACGTAGTGAATCACTTTCGTATTTTTCGATCAAGAACACTCCTATAAACGACGTGTCTTCCCTGTTTCTTGCTTTACTTGGAAAGTAAACGTGTTCTTGTGTTTTCCGTGGTTGTATTCCACAACACTCAATATAATGACAAACACGTTTAAATCCAAAGACAATGGCATTAGTAAAGTAGATTTATCTCCCCTTCCTCACCCATCCCTCCTTTCCCTGATACCTTATATTATTACTGTTGCGGGGGTGAGATTGTGTCTCCCGAGCCATTTGTCCATCTCCCCAGATGACGTACGAGGGAATACGAAGCAGTGGTTGTACTGACAGGAGCAAACCGAAGGACGCTGAGAAAAGCCTGTGCTAATGCCACTTAGCCCGCCACAAATCCCAAAGGAACTGCCCAGGCGCGTACGTGGACCTCAGGGAGCTACGACACGGCCTCCCTGATGCTTTAGTAAACAAAGTGGATAACGATTTCAGAATATTGCTGTGCGTACGGTTTACTTCTAATGATTTTGCAAACATACAACAGAACGTAATATTTAAAGTTAAATTAAAGCGGATGCAAATTATGCAATCCAATATAGGTCTAATCTCATTTTCCAACGCCATTCTCCACAGCAGATGTAACAGTTAGGCCTGTACCACAATTTCTCGGTCACTGGTGCCTGCACCACGTGAAGATAATGTTGCCATTAAGTCAAGAGAGGTTTTATAAAGTTGACGGTCACATACGGTCTTACACTTCGTCGTAGTTTCCTTTATAATAAAGTAAAGTTTTCCTAGTGAGCAAATTGCAAGCCATGAAGGCATATAAAGGACAAGACAGGGTGAGGCATCACGGTACTGAACTGGTTACATCGACCTCCCGTCCCCGCAAACCGTCTTCCCAAGTTTCATATCATCCTCCAATCTATTTTCGGTCTGTAAAATAATCATTATCCAAGACTTTATCCCACAAAAAATCGATGTACATTCTTTGTACCATGTCCAGCCCATCACTCTACTTAAATGAAGACGGCTGTCTTCCGGGTTGTACCGACATGCAGTATCATAATAGTTAATCAACGTTTCAGTGGTCTTTGCTGTCTCCATCATCAGAGCGATGCGCTACAACCCAGAACACAGCCATCTTCGTGGTCACCGCCGTGAAAACCTCAAATACTAAATGTTCTTAAGCGTCTGCTTTTCAAACACTTGTAATTTATATTCTTTCCTCAAAGTAACAGACAAACTTTTATGCCGGAAACATTCTGCAAACTTTTACTAATTTATAAGTATTTCCAACCTCCTCACATGTGGTGATAAATCCATTGCACGCTCCAGAGGAATTAAAAACCAATTCTGTTCCAGGTGATTGTGCTGCTGTGGATCGTGGCACTGAGTATATTCGCGCCTGTAATCTGGGTGCGTCAAGTTGAAACGATTGACATCGGAGAGCCTAACATGGACCTGCCAGGGTTCTGTATTGAAAAGTGGCCGGACAACCAGGAACGGCTTGTTTATGGGGTGCTCTGCTTTGTCTTCGTGTATGCAATACCAGGATTTGTGGTCGTACTAGCCTATTCACTAATGGGCCTTCGTCTTTGTGCCATTAGTCCACCTTTCGACGGACCAGGCAACGAGGGCATGGCCAGTACAAGACAGGTAAATTTTAAACTATGCATTATGGGCATGATTTGGGCTTTTTATGACAGTGGAATGTGAAATGTTATTTGATTTTAAGTTCTCGCAGCGGCGAGTATTAAGATGGCTGTCTTCTGGGCTGTACCGCCATTGGTATACTGCGTTCCACCGTTTTTGGCCTCTGAACTTTCTGAATTGCAATCTCGGAGCGAGTCACTTACCAGAAGTTTGCTGGACGGGATGGCAGCAGGCGGCGTATAGTACACTCCAAATAAAATATCACCACGGTATGTAACACAGGAAAGTCGATTTCACTACACTACACATCACTAGAAAATTAAAAATGCAGTGAGTATAAGATAATTTTATCTTCTTCACAACTCTTCGATCTACTTCCAATTCTTCCACTCATCACAGACCATCGCTTTCTGACTCGATTCATCGCTGCCGCTGATGCTGTCCACTACATTATCGTCAATTATATACAGAATGATTCAAAAGGTTAGGCCCAAACTAAAGGAGCGTGTAGAGGGACTCAGAAAGTACAACTTTCGAAAAAGAATCCATGTACTCAGAATTTATACTGGGTAAGTCGAGGCCATTGAAGGTAGGGAAGTCTGATAACAAAAAAATTTTCAAAAAGTTACCCAACTTAACAAGGTCCACTAAAAAAACTTAACCTAACCCAACCTAACCCAAAGTAACTTAACCTAAACTAACCAAACCCAACCTAACCAAACCTAACTTAACCCACCTATCATAACCTACATTAATCAGTCGTTACTTCATCTAACATATTGCAAAGTAGCAACAATAAAACGAGGCATACGTAACATAACTTAAGCGTGCCGAAACGTGACTTAGTGACCACGCGTGACAAAGTGTCAGGGTGACTAAGCGAGACTAACCGTGGCCTGCGTTCACTTGGTGACAAGGGTTCACCAAATGTATCGAAACGTGACGAAGATTTACAAAGCGTGACCAAACTTGACAAAGCCTGACCTGCTATAAAGGAGTGAGGAAAGGTCAACATAAGTGTTGAAATACGATGAAGATTTGAAAAGCGTGTTCAAGCGTGACTAAGCGTAACTAGGCCTGATGAACTGTAAGGGCGTTATGAATTCTGGCCATAAGAGACGAAACGTCACAACAATTAACAAAACGTAATCTAATCTAATAAAATCCTCGAAAGAAACCTAACCTAACGCAGCCAAACCTAACCTAACCTAACCCAACCTTTCCTAACCTGTCGCATCTTCATCTAACGTATTGCACAGTAGCAAATATTTACCGAGCCTAGGCGTGCTGAACGTCACTTCCTGACCACGCCTGCCTAGCGTGACATAGCGTGATTAAGCGTGACTTAGCGCGACCTGCGATCACGTCGTGACAAGGGATCGCCAAATGTGTCGAAATATAACTAAGATTTACAAAGCGTGGCGAAACGTGACCAAGCGTGACAAAGCTTGACTAGGCGTAATCTGCTATAAAGGCGTGACGAGAGGTCACCATAAGTGTTAAAATACGACGAAGATTTGAAAAGCGTGGTTAGTTTTGTTTTCATAACATTTTATGTGTTGACCATTGTTATTAGGCTTCTACACTGCTCCACTGACACAGACTGTACTGACCGACGAAAACTCCTTCCTTCCTTCATTGAGTAGTCCGCATACTGGGCACTCCCTACAAGGTCAGCGGCCATATTCGATGGATCCAATTCTACTGTCCGCTTGCCACGACAGTAAACCTGACATCTTTGAGGGAGGTCCGAAAAACACCCGCAGCTTATGCAGGCCGTACGTTGTGATCTAATGTACTAACTGACTGATAGCACAATGTTCTTAGGTAAGGAATACATCACCAGCGCATGCGCAGAACCAATTTTCCCTCTGCCTCATAAGCAACGGCTTGGCGGACAATAGAAGTTTACCGACGTCCAGAAGACAACCATCTTAAACTAACGACTATTCGCAATTTCGGTTACATACTCCTCGAGGTTTAAAGAGAATGGCACATGTGGTCTGCTGCAAATAGCACTGCATGTCTCACATTGAGGTTCCCAATCTTGTCCCAGGCTTGGCAGTAGATGGCCTCTGACTCTCACGCAATTCTCTTCCGCAGGGAACTCGGCTCGTCCGGGAGAGGCGACGCGTGGCCCGCATTTTGCTGCTGCTCGCTGTTCTCTTCGCCTTCTGCTGGCTGCCTTACAACGTACTGGCTATACTATTCGACCTGGGAGTTAACAAGAATATAAAACTGTTCTCGTTCGCTTTGTTGCTCGGCCACGCCAACTCCGCCATCAACCCGGTCCTCTACTGCTTCATGACACGCAATTTCCGCCGAGCAGTGCGCGAGCTCGTTCTTTGCTCTCGGGTCTCCCTCGCAGCAAGACAGCACCAACGATGCAATGTAAGCACTGTAATATGTCTTATAATATCGTGTTCAATGGCCCCTACATTACTCCTATACAGAGCCATAAACCAAATCCCCCACAACCGAGTCTACTTCAGCACACTTGGACAAAAACTGCTATTTTATTCACGACATTAAATCTTATTTCTGTTCCAAGGATTTGTAACCTTCAGACGAGAGAACTAGCCTGATTTTTTCAGCACTACAACTACAGTGCAGTGTACTTAACAGCTGCTACTGAGTTGGCGACAAATTATAAGAGCACTTCTTACACCCAATGTGATTGAAGCAGGATGCACAATTTCAAATTTGTAATTACCGAAACCTACCAGAAAGGCCGATATGCATTTGCAAACAAAACTAAATGCGATAATGTCTCTTGTTCTAATCCCTATTACTGGCAGTGGAAGTGGACGCGAGTCTACTTGAAACTTCAATTATAAAATCTGTACAACCTCCGTCTGGAACACAAACTGATCCCAAGGGAAGTTCTGAAGCCAGAGCGAGCACGGTGTCGCTGCTGCATTGTCATCCCTCAAGGAGCAGTGGCACAAATCAAACACAGCAACTGAACCAATATTGGTTACCAGCGCCATGTCAGTCCTTATTGATGTCGTTAGTGTGTACGTGGGTCGGTGTGTTGATCTTCACGATTACGTTAAATAAAGAACAGTGTGCGGCCCTGAAGAAGGTAGGAATGGAATAGTCGACAATTCATTTCACGTGTAGGTCTGAGAGTACCACAAATCGATTTTGATCGACAGGTTCCGGGGAGTAAGTTAACTTTATTACAAGCTTTACTTGCAAATCCGTATCTTTAAGGTTTCGTTTTAACACTTAAAACAGAAACTAGTTAACACTGCGTTTTAATTTTTTGCCTTCAGCTTCAAAACTGCCTTAGCACTTGCATGAATGGACTCAGAACCTCAGTTAAGATTATATACTCCTGGGTTCGACCCTTTCGCTCATAAAATCTGCCTGTGACATAGAGAAGGGAATGACACAAACGATAAGAGCTCGATTTTCCCATGATGTCACTTCAAGTCTCAAATGTTTACATTTAGTTATAGGCTATCAGACATGTAATCGAACATTATCATCTCATAAACAAACAAATCAAAATCTTCCTTATGTCAGGAACCTAACACAAAATCTTTCGTTTCCGCCACATAATCAGCTTCAGACCAGAGATCTATTTGGCTGTGGTTTAGATACGTTGTGGAGTGAAATTTTGTGTTCCAATCTCTGCGTTTGACTCCAATTACCTCAAATTTAAGAGAATGGATGACATTTTGATTAAACCATAGTTTCCGGCTTTAAAAAACCGTTTACATGTGCAAGGAAATTTAGGTATTTACTCAAGAAAAGCTCGAATATCATCACCCTGATGATCGTCGAACTTATTTAAATTCTGATTTATTTATTTAACAACACTGGCCGTACTTAAGCTGCCTATACAGCTTCGGATAACAGGATCCGTAGTGATTAATGAATGCGCTGAAGTTAACTGGACGGAAACAGTCATGGCGTAATTTAAGTTTGGCTGCTATCACTGTATTTACCTTGGTGGGCTGAGAAAACACGTAGACCCTCAATCAGATCAGCCTGTATCGAGGCCGAGATTTAATCCGGACGCCTGCCGACTACGAAAGCAAAATACGCAACGTTTCATCCATAGTTCTTATTTTCTCAGCAAATAAGTTACATTTCAGGCACTATGCTAGCAGGAAGCGAATCGCTTAATGTTCACAGCGTAGTTTAATGCCCTGCACAATACTGATGGTATTCTTGCCGGAACACTAGCGACTAATATTTTCGTATCTAAATGCCCTCACATTTGTTATTTTCAACTTCAAAGAAAATACACACAATTCAACGTGACCTGGCGAAATTATATTTCCTTGCGTATTGCGTAGATATATAACATTCCCTCTACGTCCATTAGCCAACACTTACTTGCTACATTAGAGTTCTATTAGCACAAACAGCAAACACACGGCAACGAATAGCCTTCAGTCCAGAACCACTTTTCTCCTCCATTTTATGAATGCCATACTTCCGTTTATATTACGACTCACGTTATGAAGCCACTTAGTGACGCACATATCTGAGCTGCGTAAAACGAGAAACCGGCCAGTTTTATGAAGCATTAATGTTTAACCATCTGGATACAAAGGGCGCCTAAACAATATTTAAAAATTCAGTCCGTGCCCCAAAGAAAACACTTCACCACTACAAAGATAAAATGGGGAAGCAATCGCTGTTTATTCTGAGAACCATAGCAAACCCATAAATACACTGTATGGGGGAAAATGCATAGTTACTGAAAGATAAAGTACGTGGTACGTATAATTACCTTTCGGCATTAAATTTAAAATATTTTAGACGATATTAATTAACTACTGAAGTAGTGACGTTTACCAAGCACCAGTTTCTACTCAAGATTATTTAAATGATTAAAATAAACTTGTAATAACAATAAATAAGTCAGTGGGAAAACATGTAAGCCTAGTGGTTGTTAATAAAATGAAATAATTACATTATTCGTGGCTGATTCTTAGGTTATGCGAGTCTAATGATACTGTTTCAACTGCGTAGGTTAGGCCTGTTTACTATCGAATGAGGCAACTGCATCACGAATTGTAGGTACAATAAGTATAGACTTAAGCTAGGGATCAGAAAGGATGACGTCGTGGCCTGTTTAAAGGTGATCAGAAGAAACCGTGGAAAATGTGATCCATAACTCGACCGAGATTTCAACAAACTACCTCTCGAAGATATAAGTCTGGGGCTCTACAGTTACACCAACCTGCCACAAAAGATTCATTTCAGGGCTTCCAATGTGTCCCTTCCTATCGCGGTACAGTTCTGTATTAGTTTTGAAAACTTACACATGTCCGCTCCATTTTTTGTACGTGCTAATTGTAATATCGAATGTCATAATTACAAACTAATATCGTTCCATGTTATTAACAATATTATTCAACAGAGATTTACGAAACAGTTTTATCTTTCAATAATTCCTTCTACGGAAACTTATTAACCAGCTGCGTTTTCGATGTCTGTCTGTCTCCCTGTTCCTAGATAAAGTTCCAACTTCTAGCTCACGTAAATATAAATTAAAACCTTCAGAATGTCAATAGTTTTGTTCTCGCAACACAGAGGTTTTCGGTTCACTAGATATACGCTCGCAGAATATTAACTTCAAAATAATGTGTCCTTGCTATCAAATGAAAACGGTAAAACAAAACGGATAACGGAATTGTTGATACAATCTCCGTTTTAAAACACGCAAGTTATTGCACAGCAACAGATGAAATACTCGCACAATTTAATAATCCTACGCCCCACATAAAATACAATTTGGCTACATACAGAGAAAGCTAATCACGTTACTTGAAACTTTCTTTTTTTAATACAAATTATAGGCCTGTCTTACCATGACAGAGGGTTTAGAGCTTATCACATAGAGAGCAAAAATAACATTTGCTTTAGAAATTGGTCCACACGTTACACAAATATTTTATTATCTTAACGTTTCTCCCACGGCCACAGAAAGTGGGAAAAGAATTAATGTTGCGTCGCTCGGATTTTTTTCTATTTGTCAAATGTTAAAAGTGACGTCGACTGACTCCTTGCATGTAACACACACAGATCCAGAATATCCTTTGAAACACGCAGCTCTGAGCGTACACAAATTAGTCGAATACTACATCAACATATTTTATGCGTAAACAAGCAGAGTTTTCCTCCGAAAAGTTGGTATCTTCCACCTGAGAGTCGGCGGGACAGCGTCACAACCGGTAAGAACAGCAATGCCAAGAAGAGAGCTAAAGACTACGTTCTGTTTAACTCAAGATAAAGTTACAAATCATAAATGGCTTAACAACGACACGAAAGTATCCCTATTATACTTAAAATTCTGTACATCCCGCAAAATTCGTATTTACTTTTTTTTACAATTCTGCATATTCGTTCTTTATTTATCTGTGTAACTTCGTTACCTATTTGTCTTTTAAATTACAAGAAACATTAACTTCTGCGTTTATACAGAATATTCAGAACGCCGATTTCCCCACTGCTTCGAGTCCAAAGTATGTATCTGTTCTAGGTTTACCCCTCGTTTATCTACATTAATATATTTTATTCTACTGAAAATTATTACTACACGCAATGATGCAAATTCTGCGAGAAGCTTGTGATTTTGCGACATTCCGTTACAGTGCAGAATGTCTAACAAGAATAAAATCCCCCCTCACAATGAAACTAATAATACTTATTTTTTCGCTTTTCCTCGCTGACATTTCTTTTCCCTTCCTATTCACTGTTTCCGTACAAATCCCATTGGATTTTCATACTGAGAAATCTGATCTTCTATCTACAGCAGCAAAATTATGTAACCCAATAATACATGTGATTGTGTGTCGAGCAAATCCTAGATTGCTAACGAATTAAACCCGGTGTTTTGGATATCACATGCAATTCCCGTACAAAGAGAATTCTATAATTTGTTTCTTTGGGTTAGTCGGATTCAATCTCGCTGCAGTTCAGTTACCCATTATACTGCCACTGCGAACACTATGAACGTGCGTACGTATTTTACTCCACTCTCTGGTTAACATTTCACATATTAAATAATTTAAGATGTAATCACAAATAATGTGTGCTGTAAATATAGCATGCATGAGACAAATGTGAGGATAATATTAAAATAGCTTTAATCATGAGATACGAGGTATGAGACTGCACTGAATGTACTTCGCTCAGGACAGTGTCATACGGCATGGTAGTAATCTTGGTACTTCATGAAGGGCGGGAAATGTCTTGATCAGTTGATCGAGAAGGACTTGACACTATGAAATTTGTTAACCACAAGTTTCTTGATACATGTTTCATTGCGGTCATAAATTCGGGTTTTTACAACGTTTGGACCGTACGTTCCAGTAACTAGTCTGGCACGTGGAGCGTGCTAACAACGCACAGGAAATCTACAAACTTGTTCGTGAAATACACAGAATACATTTAATTATACAATTTATGTCTAGAACATTTTCCGGTATGTTGAAATCTCAATGATACGCATTTAGACCCATCGATTAACAGGATATATGCACGACCAATAAATAAATTCTGGTTTTATATTTACTCATAGATTCAGCTGCCTCTAACATAAAGCATTCCAATTCGTTCACGAAGATCGTGCCTATATCATGTGGCGAGTCTTGAACACTAAGTTCCATACTTCGATTTCTTCTTGAATACAACATTAATTCAATTCATCCGACGCCTGTCTTTCTTGCAGTCGACTGCACGTGGAACATCCACTCGTTAAGTTACAGTGGAATCAAGCCATGCGTGAACAATAAATTAGCCCCGGTTTACTAATCACGTACTAGCATTAATAAACGGCAAGATTCTGTAACAGTAGAAGTGATTTAATACGACTACTACCGTAGTCGTATTAAATTAGCTTAGAGAACAGAAGAACAATGGTAGATCTCTGAGCATTTAAATCTATTCATATATCTTCACTAAACTTCTGTCATATATCACAAATTTTAATTCAATGAAATTAAAGCCATTATCAAATAATTAATCTTCCAGCCCGTAATTTAAAAAAATGTACTTATGGAACCCGAGAGATCATTACTGTGCTCATAGGAGCCAGTCACTATGCCATAACCCGACCTTGCACCTTTTACGTAAATATGTTCCATTTTTGAGAAATTTTATACATACATATCGTCGTTCTGAGTGTAAGAGCTTATGTTTAGTTTAAAAGCTAGATAAACGTTCGCCCCCTTTGGGCGCGGAAAGTAGTATTAGAAATAAACATTTCAGACTACAAACACGCGCTACATGATCCTCTACAGCAAATTCGGGAAAAGTTTACGTCTTCCTTCACAAGATACAAACAATCGTGACTAGTAGTATTTGAAGACGGAGCCGTGGAGCAGCAGCTCACTGGTCCAGTTTTAGTTTACGCGTCTCATACCTAGTCTCATCTAAAGTCGCGGCCAAGCGATTCGCACTCCTGATTCGTATTCCGGGTCTCTGGGTTCAATCCTCCTGACGGATTGTTTATGGTCTTCTTCAGTGTCTTTGGCCAAATTCCGAGATAGACTAATAAAAACTCGGACCATGACCTGGTCAGTACTTCGTTTGTTTTGCATATTTTCTTCCCCTTTTAATCTATTTGACTTACCATCTCAAGAAATGTATGTATCCAGTAGAACAGATTATTCTGTATGACTACGCGTATTTTCTCCGATTCTAATTCTTTACGATGCAGAACCAAATTATGCGTATTCAAAATACATTGTCTGACAACCATAACCTCTTCTAACCTCCATATACCTTCTTAATTCGATGCGCCAAATTCATATACTTGTTAATTTTAGAGATTTAAATGCTGCTTCATAATGGAAGTGACATATAAATCATACAAACCTTTTCTTTGAAACACACCAACACAGCTCTTTTGTTGGTAATAACTCTTTGTTCTGCCATTATTGCTGACCCACTATAGCTTATAATAACTTTTTACGTCGCGTACTTGATATTTGTGGTGCGGATTTATTAATTAAATAGATAAGTTTCGCTGCCGTTTAATTTATTTTTGCAACTTTATTACTTCTATTATATGTTACATTTTAGTCTAGTAAGATCTAAGCTTGAATATGCCTCAGTTGCATGGAATTCTTTAACTTGTGAGTTTGAACGCATACAGAGCAAGTTCTTACAATCGTTATCATTACGCCTATGCCTTAGAACACCTACATTTTCATACTCTTGGCACTAGGAGGAGTCACCTAGACGCCCACTTTCTTATTAATGTATATGGCGGATATAAATTTTGTCCCTCCTTACTCGAGACTGTTGGTGTGCGTGTCCCATTTCGTAATTTTAAGAGATTACTCTCTTTTTACTGTTGGCCCTGCATACAAAAGTTGTCCATCTGCTAGATGCGTATCAGCTGCGAATACTCTTTGCAATGATTTTGACATCTTTGGTAACCATTTACTTACTCTTAGGCATATCCTAAAGTAGATGGTATTGCTTCATCTATAAATAATCGTGTTATTTTTTGCTAGGAACTGTATTATTATTGTATCCCATCTATTCACCACTTTATGGGGTGTGTACTTCCATGTACCCGAGACAGACCTTGTCCCTAAGGTACATAGGGCAGCAGCTATTTCCGGGATCCATATTGTTTTTAGTAAGTGCCACATGTATTATATAATTTTATTTTACGACAGCGTCTTTCGAATGATGTATGAAGATCCCAAAATGGCGGTCTTCTGTAGTTCCCTGATGTCGTGTTCGCCCGGGATGTTGGCCAAATATTTTGTAAGTGATTTGCTGACAGTTCCAGTTGCTCCTATAACTATTGGGATTACTTTTGCTTGAACCTTCCACATTCTCTGTATTTCTATGAGAAGGTATTTTATTTCAATATCTTCTCTGCTTCCTTCTTAATCACATTCCTGTCAGTTCACATTATTAATTTTTGTGCTGTATCTGTAATTGGCCGTCTGGCTGTTGATGCAGCACTCTAATAAAAAGAATTGAATTGAACTGAATAATCTACACCGGTCAATGCGGGCGTCTATCTGTTTTATGTTCTATGGTTCCATTTGCCAATTTGAACCGTGTTGTTAATGTTGCTGTTTTTTTCAGTTGCGTCTCTTCCGTTTGTGCCACATCGTGCCGACGCCCTAGCCTCAGATAATTCTCACAAAGCGTAGCAGTACGGTTGTTTTGTTTTCGCCATTTTCTCTATAATTGCAGATTAGAGCGCCTCCTCGAAGCGCCACCACATCAAGCGGTTACGACTCTTACCACAGTCCGCACCGGCGGTGTTACATGCTGCATACATTGCGGAGAGCACAAGCAACAAGCGACGGCCACGCTCCGCCTCATGCAGCCACAATTCATTCCATCAACCAGCAGCACTACCACCACAAGGAACGAGAAACTCCAGAAATGTTGCTGCAGGAGCAGAAACAGCTTTACTACCACCACCACTACCACCACCGTCTAACCAATGCGTCATCAACCAGAGCGACGAATTCAACACGCGCGACGACACTCACAGACAATCGCTATCTGTAAGCGCTCATATCGGATGCAATCGACTTCTTTCTAAACGAGAACTTAAACGATGTGATCAAGGACTGGCGACAGTTTAACCCTTTGATGTGGGAGCTCGTCGAAATAATAATTAAGAGCTGAGTCCGTACCGCAAAGAAAACACAACTCATTTCAAAGATCAAGTTGGCAATGCTGTTTAAAGAAATGTTTGCAGTAAAACAACAAGAAACCCATAAATACAAATGCAGCTTCAGTGATTTTTTTAAGCAGGTGGGACATATGGTTATCATTGGGCAGTCGAGAAAATCGAGTGGCTGCATAGTCATACGCGTCCCTGAGACATGAGAAAGATAAGCTCCTAAACAAAAATTTAAATTTCTCAGGAACGTGATTTTTAATACACATGAGAATTTTTCTGTGTTTTATAATGCAGTGTCGTAATTTGATACGTCAACCTCGGTGTCATATACGCCGTTTGTAGTCGAGCTGCTAGAAAATCAGCGAATGGGCTGACAATTTTATTCCTAGAGAAATACGTGTTTGCTTTATTTATTTACATATTTATTGATTTAAATTTATTTATGTCTGTGTAATTTAACGGGTATGTAAGATCGAATGCGGTAAGAAAAGGGTCAAGTACAATGTACTGGAAAGGATCGAGAAGGAAACGGTGGTTGCGAATATCAAGATGTAATTTCTCCCGCCATTCGTCAATATTGACTGCAGAAAGCCACCAAAATACTTAATCAGAATTCAGAATTGACGGTACCCCAGCTGTCGTCTTCCATCTCCCCCTCTCGAACTCAAGACAGATGCATTACCACTATTTCAGCTTTATCTGCAAGAAGAAAATTTATCAGAAATTATTTAGAAATAATTTCACGATTTTACTAAGTTACAGCACTCAAGTAAAATGTATGAAGAAAGAGTGGTATCCGACTTTCTTAAACTGAAAAAATTGAAGTGGTGTCCATTTCTTTTTCATTTTACCATCATCCCCCATATTCTAGGGATTTATAACTCCCAAACAATTCTGATCTCTCTCTTCATGACAATTGTATTTAATTTGTGACGCAAACATGTTCACTGTCAACATGAAGTTTGCAAAGTGAAACAAGACATCTTTACTTACGAAGAGTAATCTCTGTTGCGTAGGGTACAAACCATTTTTCATTTTCTTGAATATTCTGACACTGCCTAACTATAAATATACCGATTTTTATCAATAGCAATGAGTCAAAAGTGACATTATCTGTGCCAGTTTGCATACCTACTGGCGTTGATGTTCGTTGTTGTATTGCACATATAAATTTACTACAGGCCAATGAAGGTAATCGTATTTATAATCACCACATTGCACAAAGTCGTAATCCGTTTTCCTTTAAAATTTGTTTTGCCCGACCAGCGATTTGAGGCACGTTCGCATCCTATTAAATTGTTTTGTCCGTCCGTCCGTCTGTAAGCATATAAGAAATCGAAAACTTCTGAAACGAATTTTGCATAAAATGTGATATGGGAAAGTTTTGCTACAACTTATCGGTACATTACAGTTTTGGTCAAAACCGGGTATAAAAACGCTCTTTATATGAAGAGCTACAAGCGTGTTTGTGATCCAAAGCGACTGGGAGAGGAATCCACCTCAATCTGGCAATTTCCCGGTTGTTCACAAAGGTCAAATTCTGGCAAACGCTCCATGTGCACTTTCTTAACTCGCTGAGAAATATAAAGTCACATTTTAGTAGAAATGAAGTACCAGCATTACTGGTAACTACAAAAATCAAAATTAATTTCTGTCATCAACGTTTAGTGTAGCTAAAAATACCAAAATGTTATCAAAATTCATCTGGTAGCTTCTGAGGTGAGACCCTGGTTGTCACAAAGACAAAGACGACCTTACAGTTGTGTACTGATTTCTTTAGTTTTTGTAAATAAAGCTATGAAAACTTCAATTTTCACTTGTTTTCAGTGTCTCCCTTATCCCGTTGCCTCTCCAACCTTGTGTCCAGTTGCTAGGAACATATGACTAAGTGCCCTACCACATTATCAAAAAGGAATGCATATATCGTATTTACTCGCTTAATTTTCCCCCTTTCTGGTTATATACTCATAATCTTTAAAATCTTATGAAGTAAACCCATACAATGCATTGGAATAGAAAAAAACAACACTTCAATAAATTATAAATCAATCCACTTGTACTTATAGACACAAAAAATACAAATTTAATACACCGGCAGTGATACCTAGCATTATTCAGTCCCTTATATCAGCACCCGACTCGATTATTCTATTCAACTGCTCACTGCATGTAGGTTAAACGGGCCCCATAGAAATCTCTCTCAAAATCAAGCTTACTCATACTTAAATGAACCGAATATAGCAAATTATTCTAAACAGGCATATATTATGTTAATTATTTATCTCCTTTTAAGTTTTCTGTTTCTCTTTTATCCTCCATACACAAGTAACAACGCGCCCATTATCGATTCGGTTTCATTCGGAACTCCAGAACAATGAGTGTGAG